ATCTCACGATCTGTCTTCTCTTTATAAGGAATCACTGTCTCTATTACATTTCTTATTTGCTGAAAATGCCATCTACCTCAGTTTGCTGCCGGTTTGGATAAGTGTAAAGAATAAAAGATAATTATTATATAAATAAACTACAACAAGCATAGTTGAAAGATTAAGTGTAAAAATCATGAAGCATATGATACTAATATCAACTATTTTTATTCTTGATTATGCTATTCATTATGCTCAATAATATGGATGCTGGAAATATAATTGCACTATGTGATAAATAAATCTGATATATTTCTGTAAAATGAACTAATATTTTAAAAGAAAAGGCTAAACTGCTAGAGTGTTTTACTGCCCTATACATTAAGAAATGTAATTCATGTTACTGCTTTTGACTATTTCATTAAAAAATAGAGATAATGTCACTGTTTTTATTATCTGAAATGCAAGTATTTGAAAATAAAACAAACTGGAGCAGAGGCACTAATTTAACAGGTACCCAAAGCTTATAATTATCTACTAATAATTGAACCCAAGGTTGGAATTAAAATTATCTATTAAACACACCTTTTGAAGTTATTGTTTCAAGAAGTGAACTGTCTAGATTGGACTATAATGAAAATCAGGTGCTTAGAAATACGATAATGGTAGGCAATGTTCCATTTGACTAATGCTAACAACTTTTTGTAACTAAAGCTTTGAAGAAAAGAATATGTTTATATGTATATATGTGTATATATAATGAAATTATTTTACCAGGGAAAAAAATGCGAAGTACGAGATAATTATTCCTAATAAGACTAATACACTCTAATTACAATGCTTATTTTTCACTTTATTTTGTATTTTGTTATATATTGTAATATATACATACATATATATATATATATATATAGATGTGTGTATATAGATTATATATGCACACATTTGCTTCACTTCTGTGATGAAATGTTTAATGTAGTATAACCTTGGGCACATAGAAGAATCTGCAGGTTATACTACTTTAAGGGTCAGTTGCAATATTTAGCTCTGAAGCTTTGAAGCAATATTTAGTTCTGACCGCTTGAGACCAAAAACAAACAAACCAACCCTTTTGTTTTGTCCAGCTTTATGTTTCATTTCAGTAATAAAGAGAGAATTTCACTGATGACTGGGTGGGTAAAATTGGCCTTTGTTAATGAAAAATAGAATTTTGAGCTTCCTCACCAGAGACCATTGCTGCTGGAGAGGATCCCAGTTACTATTTCATGTTATCATTTTACCATCTCAGCTGTAGTCAAGAAGTCAGGATTGCAACTTCTTGGTGGCCTTACATGTTGTCTCCTAAGCTTCTGAATAACCATTATATTAGTGCAAACGGCTTAAAAGGAAAAAAGACTCTTCTTCAGGGTCGTGAACTGCAGTCGAGGAAGATAAGTAGTGAGCTCCAGCCAGATTTAGGGAAAGGGCAAAAAAGAAAATTTCAAGGGTACAGTAGGTATAAAAATAACCCCTGTGGAGCTAGACTGAGGACTAGGGGCTGCTTTCAGAAAAGTAAATGAAAACATAAAGAAACATAAAAGAAAGTGGGCTGATGTTGGGGAGGTGGTAGGAGCAGGAATAAGCCTGTGAGCTTTTTCATTAATTAAACACCTCAAAATTTAATCAAGTTGTTGAATGAATAAGCTGTAGTACATCCAGACAATGCAATGTCATTCAGTGATAAAAAGAAATGAGCTAACAGGCCGTAAGAAGACATGGAGGAAATGTAAATGCATTTTTATAAGAGAAAAAAGTCAGTCTGAGCCAGTATGTATGATTTCAACTCTGTGACGCTATGGGAAAGGCTAAATTAGCAAGAAAATAAAAGGTTTTATGGTTGGTGGGAGAGCAGAGATAAACAGAGTAGAAATATTTTAGGACAGTGAAACTTCTCTGAAAGATACGATAATGGTGGACACATGCCATTATACACTTGTCCGAACTCATAGAATATACAGCAAAGAAAGAGAACCCTAATGTATATTACAGAGATTGGGTAGTAATGAGGTGTCAATGTATTTTAACCAATCGTAACTAACGTACTGCTTTCGTGGGAAATGTTGGTAGTGGGGAAGAATATGCATGTGTGATGGGTAATAGCTTTGTAAACAAAAGTAGAATTAATGTGAAACATAGAGAGATATTTGAAGCAAGCAAGACTTTAGTAAAGCAAATGTAGGAAAGATACCAAGCAGTGTTCAAATCTCTCTACAGTCTCAATTTTGTGGTGAGCCTCAAACTTTTTTAAAAAGAATTAAGTCTTTAAAAAATTAAATCCTGTTCTACAATTTTCTTTTTGCCAAGTAATAATGATAAAAAGTCTGTAACATTTTATCTTCTTCTTCAGTGCACTCTATCATTGGAAGAGCATTCTTTTTTATCTCTCAAATTTGGCTGCTATTGTACTTGAAGAAGAGTTGATTAGTCCTTCAATATATAGATGGAATATATGCCCATATCTATTTTATGTAAGCTTTGAGCTATTTAAATGTAAAACTGTGACATAATTAAATATGAGATACAGCCTTAAATATTCAGTTAACCATATTTTATGTAATTAATACATGCTACAGCTTTAAATGTTCAGTTAACAGTATAAAAATGGAAAATATTACTTATTTTTCCAATCAAAAATAATTTTAGTACAGTGGCATATTCCTTCAAAAAAGATGCTAAATACAAACTATTTGTGTATGCTCATGTTCAATCTATACGTTACATACAGAAAAGACAAAATTATACAGTCTTTACATTCTCAATTGTTTGTGTTCAGTGTGATGAAAGCTGACAATTAAACACCGTGTACCTTAGTTGTATGTATAAACAAATGATCAGGCCATGTTCTAAATAAGTAAAGAACTATACTATATTTGGACTTCTTTCAAATAAATGTCACAGCATGTTATTTTCTTTTCGTTTTGTTCAGAATTTTTCTATAAAAGAGTTAAATCAAGTTGATTAAATCATTTCAGTGCCACAAGGGGAAACCTTGGAAAAGAGGATTAGCTCATCAGCAGGATGAGTTAGGTCATAGATTATCCAAGCATAATTCAAGTGCTGTGTTCTCCAAGTCTGAAAGTTATGGTCATGTCAAGGGTCAGTGCCAAATTTTGTTTTATCATAAGTTGGAACTGCTTATTCCTGCAGCTGACTAAGCTTTAGTTGGCTAGTTTCAATTATTTTGGTCATTTTTTTTTTTTTGAAGCTCAGGATTGTCTTTAATTCCCTGCCTTCTTTGGTTCATAAATAACTATTAGTTTGTTTTAGATATACATTAATACTTCTATTAAGAGGGAAATTCCATGTATGTCTCTGTTGATAATTTTATAAACAGGGGTAGAATTAATGTAAAACATGAAGCCACATTTGAAATGAGTAAGACTTCGTTTAAGAGAGAAAGGATGGAAAGATTCCAAGCAGTGTTTTTTCAAACTGTGATTTTTGAACCATTCGTGGCTAGTAAATTCAATTTAGATGTCTTTGAGAAAAACTTTAAGAATAGACTAGAATAGGAGTAGGTTAATATAGAAAAGGAAATATCTGGGCAAGTTTGAATTCCACTAGTGATTGTATGTGTGTATGCGTGTGTGTGCTGCATTAAGATGTAAATTATTTTTCTTACATGTTTATGATTGATCTTGAACAAAAATAGCTTGTCAGCTACCTGTGTAGAAACAACAAGATGGACTTGTCTTGCTGGCTGTGAAACTCTGAAAAATTAAAATCTGTAGGACTGTCCCTAGTCTGTAAAATGGGGATTATGCACTGTACCTCACAGGGTTCATGTAAGAATAATGTGAGATAATATGTGTTAAAGCGCCAACCATGATTCCAGCCACATATTAGGCACTCAGTAAATAGTTGCCTTTATTAGTGACATCAACCATGATAAAACTAACTTGAGACTTTTCACAGCACATTAATGCCTGGGTATCTTGAGATGGCTTTAAGAGATGATGGGTATTCACAGAAAGTTACAAATTGAAAAACTAGACTAGAGTGAGAGATATGCAGCCATGTGGATCTGTGCTAAGGACAGGCTTTTAGAACTGTATTTGGTTCAAATTATTCCCTACAGCAGCTCCTGGTTGATTTGGAATCTAGTAGCCGTTCAACCCATTAGATATTTCTCCCAAATACCTCTTCAACTGCCATATGTACCTCAAGGGATAATTGGGGTTTACCTTCAGCCCTTGTTAGATACACACAATCTGGGTTCAGCAGCTTCTGGGTAGAATGGAACTAACAAGTTATTGTGAACGTATTTCAGTTAGATTAACACCAGGCAGGTAATAAGCAACCTATACCCTTGACATAGAACAGACATAGATAATGGGCTTCAGAAATAAAGTCAGAACCATTTCAAAACCAAACTACTCACCTGTTTTTACCTCTCTAACATCCTTTGTATTTATCCAGAGTTTTGCTTATATTCTCTTTATTCTTACTCATGGGCAGACCCCTTGATGGTTAAAAAAAGGATGTCTTCTTCATGGTACTGGCAAATATTTAAAACAAATACATGACTTTTTGAATGCATGATTACTTGTTATCAATAGGGAAATTATATTGTGAAAGACTCACATTTTTTCTTTATTTTGTGAAAGGTCCATTTTAAATATCTTATCAACTGATTTATAGCTGTCACTACCGATAGCAGAGAAAGGTGGTTAGGAAAGTGGGTCTTCACGCATTCAAATGTGTACCAACTCACCTAGGGCAATATTATTTTGACCCTAATACCCTCCAATGGGTGACAGAGGAGTGTCATGTGTGTGGATCCCAAAGAATTCTCCTTCATTTACAACAGCTGTGGCTACGTCTAGCTGCTATACTGATGTTCCAGAGAATTTGGTTATCCTATACCTAAAACAGATTATTTTCTCTGTAGCCTGTATGTTATCTCTTTATTTTCTTAATTTGTTTTCTGTTTGAGATCACTGTAAATAATTAACAAAATATAAAGACAATTTTTTTTCCAGGTCTGAGAATGAATAAAGGTGCCATCACCCCTCCCCGGACTTCTCCTGCAAATACATGTTCCCCAGAAGTAATCCACCTGAAGGACATTGTCTGTTACCTGTCTCTGCTTGAAAGAGGAAGACCTGAGGATAAACTTGAGTGTATGTGGTTTTTCATTTTGTTTACTTATCATGGTTGGGGGCAGGAGAAAGGACTGGAAATTGATTAACTTAAAATTGCGCTAGTACGGTTGTATAATTTTTGTCAAATAAAGCAACCCTGCTTAATAGTAAAAATTTCCTCCTACTGAGAATCAGACAATTAAAAGATAGTAAGATCTTTTTATTTCAGGTTCTTATTTATCAAGTTCCATTTATTACTGATTATTTCTTGATTATGTTTATCATATGACTATAAAAACTCTTCCTCGGTTCTTTAGAGTTAAGAAGATGCTGTTAGAAAGTATCTTTTGAGTTGTTTTCATAAAGTATTTATTTATAGTATGTGAAGAATCATTCCTATTAGTGAGCAAGAAAATTGCCTATAAACATGCAACCTGCACCATTTCCCCAGTGGAAATCTCTCTCCCTTGCAGTCTTCAGCACTAACTCTCTTATTAGCAGAGACATGATTTCTCAAATGCTAAACCTGAGAATGACATTTATAGTATTTGATTCTGGATATTATAAATAATTAAACAATAGCTTTGTTTCTTTTGGGATATGGTAGGTAGAGAATTTCTATTTGGTTGAAAGAAAATAATTACTCTCTTTAATAAAGCAGTGACTGAGCCCTCTCTGGTGGCAAACTGTACTCACTGCAATACAAGAAAATGTTTTTCAAGCATTTACTCTAAATCTGATCATTTGCTTGTCTATTCTGTCTCTGAAGCCCTTTCTAAATATAGTTCTGGCAACTTACTCAATAATCTGATAAATTTGAGTATATAGGATATGTTAAAAATAATTAAAAATTCTTGCTACTAGAATGATAGTGATAATAAATCCAAACTTTAATATTTCTAAAGCAAATATAAATTGTCATGATGTCTCAGAATTATTATTAGGAGGCATTTTTACTAAAATTTAATAGTAACTTTTTGATAATATTTCTTCTACCACTAAAGGATTTACTGTAATGTGATTATTTAAGAGTCACACCTGCTTAGGTTATAAATAAACCATATGAATATCATTCTTTAAATATATATTTATTATTCATAAAGGTTGAATATTTGCATTTCAGGATTTATTTTGTATTCCTAAGAACTTACAGGAATCTGTCTCATTCCAAAGTAAATATTACTGTTCAGTGAATTTCTATTGAAGTGATAGCCAGAGAGAAAGTTTGCTCAGGTGTTATCAGGAGCACATTGGGGTGATTATAAACATATAAAGACAAACATTTTTTCCACATCTGAAAATGAATAAAGGCACCATCCATCCTCCCTAAGATGGTATTTGGTCTTGCAGTTTAACCATTTCTAGGTCTACTGGAAGTATATTTCTTTTAAGAAGAAGGCTTTTGAGTTTTCAGTTTGCATTGTTGAACCCGCATAGACTTTGTCTACAGTTGCAGATAGAATGTTAACTCACCACATTATTCAAAAACACAGGAGGAATCTCATCCAATTGACCTGCCATTCACTTTTCTTAAGTGCTATCAATCAACCCCCTTTTCTCTGTTTTTTTTTTTGTTTGTTTGTTTTGTTTTTTTGAGTTTCCCAGCTTTTTTCCAAGCTTCCACTAGATGCATTGCATTTCCGTTTCCTTAACCATTTCTTCAGGCTCTTCTTATAGGCAGTCTTGTTATTGCCCAGCATTATCGCTACAATTTTCACCAAAGTCTTCAAAGTACATGATGCTATAGGCCTCTTTTCTATTGTCCTCTAATCTGTGGATTCTTACTGACTATACATCAGCTTCATCCAAAGTTTGGTTTTCTTTCTTTTTCTTTTCTAATGCCAATGCCTGGCCCTTTACCATGTCAATTAAATAACAATCCATCTTCCTCATCTACTTTCTTAACAATACTATATATTTTTATCTTTCTAAAATTGCATATGTGAAAATTGCTAACATGTATTCTTATACAGTCATAGATTTTTAAAAACAAATTCTCAGTAGGACCTCAAAAATGTGTATTGGTGGTTACTTTAATATATACTTACTCCAAAAGGGTTATAACTTATTAAATGCAGTATAGAGCAGAAGAATGAAAAGAAGAAAAAGCAGTTATCATTTGCACAAAAATAGGTGTGAACAAGCACTTAAAATTAAGTTTTGCAGGTCAATGTTGAATTTGGCTCTTAGTTCCAGGTGGTTAAGCATAAAGAAATATACACATTGATTTAGGTTAGAAGTTCTCAAACTTTATCACACATCAGAATCAACTGCAGGACTGGTATATCTGATTCAGCTGGCCTGGGATGGGACCTGAAAATGTGCATTTCTAACAAGTTTCCAGGTTATGCTGATGCCATTGTTCCAGGGACCACATTTTGAGAAGCAATTTGTAGCTTATGCAATTTCATCTGTCCAGTAAAAACACAGAGACACAAAGAATCCACCTGAAATGACAGTTGTTTTTCTTGGAATTGATGAATAGTGGCAGTATTTGTTAGGTGATTTTACCTGGGTTATTAAATGGAAACATTACACTGTTGTCAGTGTTTACATATGTAGTACCTTTTTTCCCCAAAATAAAGTTTTTAAAATCTATTCATTGCCTCCCACCACTTTCCGTTGTGTGTCTTTTCTGCCAGGCATTTACACAATGTTTATTATAAAGCTTACTCCATTAAAAAAAAAAACTAACAAATGAAAGTTCCCAGATGTTTCACTGATCACAGGAAGTTGTCACTTAACATCCGTAATAGGTTTTTGGAAGCTGTGACTTTAAGTGGAACAATGTACATAGTAAAACCAGTTTTTTGCTCATCAACGTTATAACAAAATGTCATGGAAGGAAAGGATTGTTATTCGAGAATCCTCTGTACATTGTTTTGCTTGAAGTCACAGTTTCCCAGTATCTAGCAAACATATTGAAGACTTACCATATAAGCCATGTCTTCAACTTTATTTCCTTTACCCAATCCTAATTCTTCTCTCTGAGGACCTTGCCTGTTCTGAGGCTCTGTCAGGTAGAAGGTGTTTGTTGCCTTTGGATGTGTGCTTTCGCATACATGCACGCGTGCATGCTTGTGTGTGCATGTGCACGTGTGTGTGTGTGTGTGTGTGTGTGTGTGTGTGTGTGTGTGTGTTGGGGTTGTGGAGAATTCCATGTTTATCTCTCCTTGTTGGTACTATTTACCAACCACCTCTGTGAATAAACAAGGGCATGGTGTCAGGACTGATTTGCCCTTCTATCCTCAAGTGCTCCATAAAACTTAATGGAGAGTCATCAACCACTCTTTTCGTCTTCCCTCAAATTCTGTGACTTTGTCTCCATTTTTCAGTCCTTCACTTCTGTTGCAACACTCCAAGCCTTGTAACTGTCAAGAACTGCTATTATTCTATAACTAAACTGTCAATTTTACTTTAACCCCAGCCTATGTTCACTTCTCACTCTCCTACTTTTTAATTGTAGCATAGTATAGTAATTAAGAACCTTGGCTCTTGATTTATAATGATTGAATGCAAACCCTAGGTTGAGAGTTAACTGTCTAGGCCGGGCGTGGTGGCTCACACATGTAATCCAAGCACTTTGGAGGCCAAGGCGGGCGGATCGCCTGAGGTTGGGAGTTCAAGAGATTTAACTGTCTCAGTGATCTGAGTACATTTTTAAAATTTCCTCAGGACTCAGTTTTCTCAACTGTAAAATTGGCATCATTAAATAGTCTCTATTCCATAGGATAAATATGAGGATTAGATAAACTAATAGTTGGTCCCGTACATTCCTTCACATTTATGTAAATGCTTGTTCGGTAAAATAAAAGTAAATTAAAATTGTTTGACCCTTGACCAGTTTACTCCCTCTTGAATTTGCCTGCTGACTTTTGGTTGCCCATCCTTTCAAATTTGAACTAATCTCATAATCCATGATGTCAATTAGTTTATCACAATTTCAAACGTTCGACTTATTTGCTCCTATACTGAGTGGTAGAGACTTCGTAAAATGAAAGTATAATTCCATGGATTATAGCTCTACTCAAAACATCAGCTGGCCTTCAGTGCCCAGTGTTTCTCTCCTATAGTTTTCTAGTTAAAAGTTAATCCAGATGTTTTTTTACCCCAACACCTACCTAATAATCATCTTACTCATTAAGTGTACGTTCTTGTAACTGTTTTGTTTTACTTAATACCTTATTAGCTAATATTTTTTTCTGTTTCTCTTTTGATTCAGAATGAAAAAGTGTGGTTTTGATAGTTCCTGATTTCATAATGCATAAAATTGAAACCCTTAACTTGGCATGCATACACTGATCAGACTCCCCAGTTTGACCCCTACCTACTCTGCCAGACTTGCTTTGGCTGTGACCAACACACACATGAGCAAACCATGTCCTAGTCATGTGGGTCAACTGTTCACAATCATCTGACAAACGCTGAACTTTTCCATGTTCATGCCTTTGATTGCAACGTGCAATTGCTGGGTTTTACCCCCACTCCCACTCCCACCTCCCCAGTGTATATTTGACAGAGTCCAGTCCACATTTGAGGCTCATCCTGCATCATGAATTCTTTTGCCATCTCCTGTACCTATACATCTCCATCAGTAAGTGTGTGTGTTTCAACAGGTAGATGCTCAGTAAATGATAGTGAAATGCAACTGTATTAAAGTCAGTGGGT